TATCTTAATTATTGTTATATAATTTATATGTAGATAACTTAATTAACACAAGTTTTTTCTGTAGTCCTAAATAAATTTTCCGATCCACATTCTTATTCTAAAATTATAATATTTCATTATTGATACGATGTACTTTGATATCATACTGCATTAATTAAATTTACATTTAAGAGATATGTCTTAATCGATTACCCCAAACAGTAGCAATTCAACTTTCTCAAGAAGGACATGCTAGAAGTCTCCATTTGATTGTCTGATAAACTCTATGATGACTTGCTTAGGTCAACCGCTCAATTTACCACTGAAGACTTGATTTTGCAACTATTATTTGTGGTATAAAAAATCAACGGCATAAAGAAGTCGCATAATTCTCGGAATATATCCTTAAAAAAAAATAACAGAAAGAGCTGAGCGATTCGTAACGTTTGACGAACGTGCAGAGAGCAGAATTTCATGGAATTAGAAATTAGGGCCTTGTATGTTTTGGTTGAATCATTCTAGCATATTATTGTTATGCACGATTGTTTGTTCCAATTGTGTTTCGTCCTTGGCTCTATTTTCGGTTGACTCATTGCCCGAGTTTTCCATTTCATGGCCCACGTGCATGCCCATGCGATCCAATAGAATAGCCACCAAATATTTCTATGGCAAACCGAAAACACCAAGAAAATAACAAATAAAAAAAATAAAAATAACCAAAAATAAAACTAAATAAATGATCGTACGAAAAGCCCTGCTGGGGGTCTCCTGCCAACAGAGATAGACCGATAGCAGCTACCACTGTGGCGGTTTTCGGTTATTTGGGCTACCGTGGTGCCTTGTTGTTGGCCTAAAATCGTTTCTAACGAAATCTCTTGACCTGCTCGCTCGATGAACACGTGCACTGATTTCTTATCGTTGCCGATCATTTAAGGTTCCAAAATTGTAGATTAGCCCGAAACACAAAACCTGTGGCACACACAAAAAAAAAAAGTAAAATTGGAAAAAAAAGTATATATACATATATCAACAACAACCTGACCCCTCACCGATTGCCATTGTTTGCTGGTGCTTAGATTCCTGTGCGCCTACACACACGCACTTGCACTGGGATTGGAATTGGGATCGGGATGGTGATTGGGTTTTAGGGCTTGGTCTATGGGTATGAGAACGTGCATCGTCTTGTTTGAACACGTGACGACCTCGTTTTAAGCGCTGCGGGATGTTTGGTGTTACGACGCCGTTTCAAAATTGCAGCGTCGCCAACAGACACGTCTCGCTGATGTACTATCCATACGATATGCAGCAAGTGGCCAAGTGAATCGCTGCGGTACGTGCGTAACTAGCAAGCGGCGAATTTTCACACATGTGGCAGCAGCAGCAGCGGCAGCAGCAATAGCAGCAAATCGGGAAATGCCCGCAATCAGGTCCAGTTACAGGACTTGGATTTTCCAGCAATTCATTGGCAGTGCTAACTATGCCGATGTTACGGTATTTCCGCTGGTCGCCAGCCTGGTCAGCGTGAACATCAAACGAGGCGTGCGAAAAATTCAACCGAATGTAACCCTAGAGCCGACTCGCACTTGAGTCCAATTGAAACCGAGGCAGCCATGGGCCATGGGCCATGAGCCATGGGCCATGAGCCATGGGCCATGAGCCATAGAATAGATCAAGTCATGTGCGCTGCAGTTAAAACAACAACGACTACAAATCGCAGCCACATTTGAATAGCAGCGACCCACACGGCGGTTTTGTAATGATAAAATAACACAGCATAAGACACATACACCCGCACACACATGCGGCACACTCATAAATGCGCTATAAAAATAAAAATAATAAAAAAAAGAAATAACACATGTGGGGTCCTTTTTTTCTGTCATCATATTACATGCAAGAGACGGGACGGGCGCACTTGACACGAGACAGCGCGACATGTTGAATTATCTTTTAGTTTACAAATTAGTATGTGAGATGCAGGCTGTTCCCGGAATGCAGACATTGTTAGTTTAGGATCAGGATCAATGGGCAATTGCCGTAGCAGCACTGTTTGTCTCCTTTTTGCTCTGCTCTTTCAGTCCGCCCATCACTCAGCGCACGTGCAGCGCACAAAAGGGGTTGTAATTACAGTTTAACTCAGTGTCGCCGCCCTCCCTAAAAACCAGACTCAACACCAGCACCACACAGCACCACACAGCACCACACAGATCGCACCACACAAGACAGCGAGCGGCTCATGCAGATTCGATGGCAACACGTGCATATTGATGAGCCCGTTGAGCTGGCGAGGCGTGGACAGGTCCCAGACTCGTTTCGTTTCTCGGTTAGCCACTCAGGGGCGTCGCTGATCGTTGCAGCTAAGGTTACACACACATATATATATGGAAAAAGCCAGCTTAAGGGTCAGGACCTCCTACTTGCGACCCTAGGGAGCTCGAGTTGCTCGCTCGCTCGCAGCTGGGGTGTTTGGTTGCGTTGACACGTTTGGTTTACCGAACGAGTTCCTGGGGAGCTATTCCAGCAGAGACGTATGTAAACAAGCAACTACAAAACCTACAAGACCCCATTAAGACGGAGCACATAAACGAAAACCGAAAACCGAAAACTCATTAAAAAATATCGAAAGTGTCGTCCCTTGTTTGTCTCGATCATTCCACACGCACGCACGCTCAAATCTTCCAATTTGGAAATCGTTAGCGTGTCTAGTCCCATTTAATCCTTCCAAGACTAATTACAAAATTGTAGACGCCAAGGTCCTGTCACGCATACCGATAAGGCGAGTAATTTAAGAGCTGTCCCCATTAGATAGGATATCTTACTCTCATATTGGGTTTCACCAGCTCTCATTCTGAATGCCGAGCACGCAACTCTCCAGATAGCGCTCCGATATTGCAGTCTGATCTTGATAGCAGCCGCAGACAAAGGAGCGTGTCAATGTTTTGAGGCAACACCAACAGGTTGAGTAGAAATAAGATATTGAGTTGAGGTACAGTTGTGCCAAACCTCTAACAATGACGGAATATGGTACTTTCATTTCACCCGAAAGACAAAACAAAATCAGATAATATCGTTGACTAGAATAAGGCCAGTTTAAAGTAATCTCAACAAAAACTCATTGTTGAGCATTGAGTAATATTTTTTCAAATATTTTCCAGGTCGAGTAAACTTAAGTTTCTAGTAGGATTTATTAGGCAATTGTCAGGCTTGCATTGGTAAAGATTCTCTTCATTCAGGTCGAGTAAACTAAAGTTTCTAGTAGGATTTATTAGGAAATTGTCAGGCTTGCATTGATAAAGATTCTCTTTTACAAATTCTTTTGCATTAGCGTAAGCAAACATTTAACTGACATTCGCTCTCGATTAAAGTTTTAACCGAACCGCGAAATTTTTACTCTCGCTGGCATTGAATCGCCAATATAAACTCAGCATGTACAGCAAAGTCTGTGTTAACATAAATCAGATTTTCAAAACACTTCTAAAAACTGGTTCTGAGAGAGTCACAATGTTAAATATTATTGTTTTCCAATTACTTACGTTTCTTGGACTCAAGTCTATATTATCACATTTTGATGCATTTAAAAATCTTAAAACTGATCATGAAATGAAAGAAGAATATTGATTTGTGTCCGTCTGTCTGTATGTCCTTAACGTAAAAACAATACTTTCCCAGTTTAATAAATATAATTACAAAATTTAATATTGATATTATTTCAAGCCTCAACGTAAAAACAATACTTTCCCAGTTTAATAAATATAATTACAAAATTTAATATTGATATTATTTCAAGCCTCAACGTAAAAACAATACTTTCCCAGTTTAATAAATATAATTACAAAATTTAATATTGATATTATTTNAATAAATAAAAATAAAAATAATAAAACATTCAAACAAGTATAATACTAAATCCTAAAAACCTAAAGTCTAAAAATTAAAAAAAAAAATCTTAAAAAATCCATTGTTAAAACATTTAAAAAATGATTAATTAAGAAGATCAATCCGAAGCAAACCTATTGCCCAAAAACCCCTCTGAAATGCAAGATATTAAAGAGTCCATTGAACATTTTTTTTTTTAAGTTTTAGTTTTTATTACTATTAAAGCTTGTAATATTTGCTTATTGCCTAAAGTTAGTAAACAAAATCTGGCTACATATTTACAATTAGGCTTAACACTATTAAAGCTGGTTTTCTTATAAGTATGTTGTTCTTAGATCTACGTAAAGCTCTTGTTATCACAGTTTACATCGAGTCAATTGGAAGACATGATTCGTTGTTATGGTTGTAGTTGTAGTCAATTGGAAGACATGATTCGTTGCTATGGTTGTGGTTGTAGTTGTAGATGTTGTAGATTGTTGATGGTTTTGTGGTTTACCAGGGGCGCCACATGGGATTGCTGGATGGCTGTGGACTGGCGGCTGCGTCAGACTCCTCGGCATCGCTGTGATAGCCAGAAGATGCTGGGCTAACTGGACGACTGATTGGCGATGATTCCAATTTGCTTTGCTGCTGCTGCTGTTGTTGTTGTTGCTGTTGCTGCTGTGGCTGATCTGCCTGCAGCATGCGCTGGAACTCAATGCCCAGGTGGGTCATCACCGTTTTGCCAACATCGACACTCATGGCCGGCGTGCAGGCCATCACCCGGGAGATTTCGCTGACGGCGTTCATGTAGCCGTTTTTGAAGCTGTCCATGGGCACAGGTGAGACGGGCGCCTGCTGCTTGATGAGCTGTTTGCGCATGAAGACAAGTGCGGCCTCGAGCATTTCGGCCTTGTCCAGGCGCAGTATGGCATCGTCGCCCTGGAACTCGGCAACGAGTGTCTTCAGCGTGTCCAGGCACTTGTTCATGCGCGCCCTGCGCTGCCGCTCGAGCAGCGGCTTCTTCACCTTCAGGTAGTGCTGCGTCTTCGAGACGAAGGAGGTTTCGGTTTGTGGTGCCATTTCAGTTGTGAGATCGAATTTAGTGCTTGCTTGAGCTGTGCACGACTTGCAGGATGCTGTGTGAATGATGCTCTACTCGAGCGCAGCGTCGGCTTTTATAGGCGTACGCATCCTGCAGCCTGCAGTCGGCAGGACCTGCTGCAGGTAGCCAGAGTTGCAGAGAAATCTAGAAATCTCGCTCTTTCCTGCGCTCTTGCGCTCACTGCGTGGGAAAGGAAATCGTAGCTAGACCCTAAAAACTGAGCTACACGGCAACAATAACTATAAGACGATTGTCTAGTTGCGTGTCTGAGGCATTGTAACTGCAATTAAACCGTAAAATTCTGACCAAGAGGGCTCAGACAATTGACTGGACGGTGGTGATTTGTCTTGGCCAAGCCAAAGGTAAAATTGATGCAAAGCTATAAATGTTCGGGCTTCGATGTGGTTTTATGGCTGCATCCTTTGTATCCCCATGATTCTCTGACCGGACTACAGCAATTTACACAGAGTACTGGCTGTACCAATTTCAGTTCAAATTGAACTGGATATGAAATATAAATGGGATTGTCTTATATAATGAGCTAAATTAGTTATTTGTTTACTTAAGTATTTGTTTGCATTTATGATGATTATGTAATTTACAAATCAAATTCATCAAGCCATATTACATAAAGGAGTTCGGCTGGAATTACTTGTCTTGTGGTTTGACAAATTTCGTCAAATGTTTTTAAAGTTATTGCTGAGTGATTGATTTATTGATCAGTATTGAATATAAACATATTTATTATATTAATATATATGTATATTAAATATGTAACATATAATTTATAGTACACACTTGGTTTGGCTATACATATGTATATGTATGTATATATTTTCAGACAAAAAATGCGATATTCTACTGTATTTAATATGAAGTTAATATCGGCTGGATCGGCTGTTTATTGATTTCTTTTGAATTCATAATTTATTTGTAGCTTATTATTTGTTTTAACCAAATATTTATTAAGAATGAAGTATTGTTACTGAAAGTTGTACTTAGTGCATTGTTACCTATGCTACCTACCATTTTAAAAACTTACTACTACTATTTGAAGCATTTCATTCATTTGATTTAATTGAAAATACATTTTTGAAAATTTATAAAGTGACTATGCTTATAGAATTTAATAAAGATGTCGCATGCCTGAAACTATGTACATATGATTATAATAATGATCTTTCTGTTAAGAAACTACGAAATTTTAGAATTTATGATTTAGGCGTTGAATAAAAGGTTAGTAAATTTATTGGTCGCTGCTGTTTGTAAAGTATATTTGTCTGCTTTTATTTTTTAGCAAACATAGGTCTGCATTGAATTATTTTTTAATCTTTTATTTTACCTTGCATAATTAGGTTAACGTAAACAAGTATCACAATGAATGTTTTTGATAAAAAATGCCTAAATCCTTACTTTCAATTAAATTAATAATTAATATTCATCTGTCTCTGAATATACGTGTACGTATACTTAATTTTAACTCAACAAAACAAATAACGAGAGGCTGCTAAGCCGCAATCAGCTACCCTTTCGAAATGCCTTTAAAGAGTTAATCCAATTACAGCTCACAAAGTCCCGTCCCAATAAAAATACAATATTTTATAATTACACTCGGGCTGGCTTTGCTACAAACTACGTACGACGACTACAGCAAGCGTCTGTAGAGCTCCAATTAGGATGCATGCTTATAAGAAGGGTAGGTAAGTAGGTAGGCAGCTCCATTGCGGAAAGTGGCACCCGCAGCTCGGCAGCTCGGCAGCTCGGCAGCTCGTCCGACGTCTGTCGTCTGTCGTTCACTTGTGCGTCGCTTGCTCGATTTTCATATCGTGAGAACCGCTCGAGTAACGTCGTGTGTTTCCCACGCGATGTGCACACCTGCCATTTAAGTCGCTTATATGGTTACGATTACAAACAGCAGCAGCAACAGCAACAGCAACAACAACAGCAGCAGCAACAACAACAATAACAACATGAGGGCCTCGACTGTCGACGGCACACATTTATTGCGCCGGCGCGACGCGTATTATCAGCGTCGTGTGGCTGGCTGCCCTGACGACTTGGCTGACTAGCTGACTGAGTGACTGACTGAGTGACTGAATGTCTGATTGTCTGACTGACTGATTACTGACTGCTTTACTTTAGTTTTTCACTCTTGTCGTCATCATGTTGCCGTCGCCGTCGCCGTCGTCGTCGTCATTGTCGATTGTTTAATTTAAATCGTCGTCGCGATGTCGGCTACTCGGCTTCAGCTTAATGATTATACCTCAAAGTCTGCCTCGAGGTTTCTGCGGAATTGTGCGCAATAGTTATTTGTACTTTACGACATGCGCTAATTGAACCGCCGAAGAGTTTAGAAGCCACAGCTTCAGCCTCAGCTTCAACTTCAACTTCAACGACAGCCGCTGATTGGCCAAAGCTGAAGGTGAAAAGTTGGCGCTACCGTTGACGTGATTGGAATTGAGTTTGTTGTATGATTTTTTTTTATTGTCGGCCAACATCAATGGGTCGTCAATTGAGGATTTGATTTGATGAGCATTGGGTCATGTGTGTGCGCCTAAGAACATGGACGGAAAAAACCTCACAGCCAAATTGACAACAGGTGCAAAACTTAACAAATTTGCAATACAACAGATATAATTCAGATCGTTGCATGCAGAAGAGCAAAACTGAAGACCTTGAAAGTCAGTTGAAATGGAATTATACCAAATTATATACATAATTACAACTCTCATTTCAGATAATGTGAATAACGATTAAAAATAAATTTATTGATAATGATTCAATTCTAGTGAAGACAAATTATTCAGAGAAACTTGTATTTTATATAATATAT